GTCCTCCCCCTCCTGCCCCTGCCGCCTCCTCCCCTCCTGTATAATGTCCCATCGCGCAACCAAGCATGTCTGCAGGGCGGCCTGGGCGCTTCGACAGACTTCCTCACAGCATATCAGCCTTGAAGCTGGAACTCCCAACAGTCACAAGGAGGATGGAAGGCGGGTGGTTGTCAACATCTGGGCGCCGGGCTCGTTCGTCTTAAAAGCTTCCAACAGCTGCGCGGATGGAAGGCGGGGGGTGCCCATGATGTGGCTCCCGCTGGGGTAACGCGTGTACTCGTGGACGGCGGTTCCTTTTCAAGATAGGTCACTTGCTGGAGAATTCATCACATGCGCACCTGGAACATTCAAACGTGCACCCGAACAGTCCAAGTTTGCATCAACGTTGCACCCGACCAAGGACAGATGGAGGGTAACTTCTTTTCAAATTGGGGCCGTCATTCAAGCCTTTCTTTTTTTAGGGTTGGACGTGTAGCAAGCATGCAACCGTTACACGGAGGGATGGTGGATGTGTTTGAAACCTGGTATTTGCTGGACATGGTCAGAACTTTTAGTAACTCGAGTAATGGACGGCTGTTCCTTTTCCTGATGATGCGCTTGCTATAATGGCGGGCCGACGGGGCTCTTGTCTCTCAAGCGGGGGGGGGGGCATTCTGTGGTGAACAGGGAGGCTTGCAGGTACTCGGGTGGGACTGGAGGGTGTAGTGCAGCATCGCTGATGCGCCAATCTCTGCTCTGGTCCTCCGTCCTCCTCCTTCCTCTGCCCTGCTCCTCCGCCCCCTCCTGCCCATTTTCTCACCCTAGCTTTCCTCTCCCCCTCCCCCTTCTCCCTTTTTAAATTTTTCGTAGAAAGGCCTGCGACATTCCTACGCCCCCCTTTCTTCGTCGTTGTCGTCCTCCTGTCTCCTCCCGCCCCCTCCTCTTCTTCTTTCTCGTCTTCTTTTTCTTCTTCTTCCTCCTCCTCTTCCCCCTCACTCTCCTCCTCCTCTCTCCTCCCTCGCCTGCACTCGCCCGAGACGGCGAGTACTGGGCGGGTTTTGTTGTCTCCAGGTTCCCTGGAGGGTCTTACACGCAGTGCTCAGATGTCAATGGCACGCTCTAGTGTGTGAGTGATCGGCGTTGTGCGTGCTCACCTGTGGCGCCCGATTTTTTCGCAGGGCTCGCTCGAGGACATCGAGTGGGGGAACAAGTGTTGGGTCAATCGTCTCATGAGGATGTCTGAGAGAGGCGTATTTCCGATATTAGCAGGTCGGGCAATTCTCAGGCCGACAGATTCGCGAAAGCTGGTGCCATCCTCACCCGTCACGACTCAGCGGACGCGTTGCTGGCAACGGACATGCTGTCTTTGGCCCGCCAGCTGTTCAGGCTTATCGCGCGTGCCGAGGTTTTTTATTCAGAAGCAGGCCCATACGACAACATGGCTGCCCAGGGGCTCACTTTGGTTTCCCTGGAGGGGGACCCTGAATTGGGGAGGGCCTTGGAAGAGGCGAGGAGGGCGGATGAGGAGATGGCTGCTGCCGCTGCTGCTGCTGCCCCCCCTCCGCTCCCGCCTGGTGGCCCTTTGAAGACCCCCTCCCCCCGAGCCCCTGGAGCCCGAGCTGGTCTCTCTTGCGGCTGATGCCTCCCAGGCCCCGTGGGCCCAAGCTGGGCGCCGCCTCCTGGAGTTTCCTGTGCCCGCAGAAGGTCAGGCCTGACCATGTTCCCCCGGGGCCCGAGGCCTGCAGGCCTCGTGCCAGGGATGTGCTGGCGCGGGAACTGTTTTCGATGGCCCTCGTGGAGCCAGGGGCCCAGCTGGCAGGTGAGCGGAGGGCAGCTGCCCCGAAGCTTCGCACGCGTCGGGAACTTTGCCTGGCCGGCTGCCTCCAAGCGTTCGGCCTGAACGGGGTTGGAGCCCGATCCCTCGGCTGGGAGGTTCGGCGGAAGGAGGCCGAAGGGATTCGATCCCGCAGAAGGGGGCAATCTTTTTTCCTCGGTGGGTCCTGTCGCTGGCCCGCGGGTGGCCCGTCAAAGCCATCCGCGGTGTCAAAAAGGTCCCCTTCCAAGGGCCTCACTAGGTTTTTCTGACCACTTGTATCCCTCTCTTTTTTGGTTCACTCCCTCCCTCTCTCTCTCTCTCTCCCCCCCTCCCTCCCAGCCGCCGCCCCGGTTCGAGAGGTTCGGGTGCCGTACCAGGTACGGCGATCTCTCCCGGGGCGGCAGCCACGCGCGTTGGCCCGCGCCCCAGTCCCGCGCGATCCGCGGCTGGGCGGCCTGCGGCTGGCCGCGCCCGCTCGCGCAGCCCCCCGCCTGGCACGCCTGCTGGGCCCGCTGGCGGCGCTGGACCCCCCAGGCGCGGGCGCGCCGAGCCCGCGTGGCATCGGCGCGCGCGCCTGAGACGAGCACAGTCGCGCACGCTGCTGCGTGTCGCGGCCGCCGCACGCCTCCTTGCCGCCCACCACAGTGCCATGGGCAAGGGAGGCAGCGGCAAGGGCCGCACGGGCGCGACGGGCGGCACCGCCCCCCCGCCGTGGCAGGGCGCGCCGCCGCCCCCACCGCCAGGCTGGTGGTGCGACGATTGTGGCAGCTTCAACGGCCCACAGGAGAGTCTCTGCAGGTGCTGCTACCCAGGCCCGTCGGGCCCAGTCGGAGGAGGCGGGCATGGTGGCCCACCGCAGCAGCGCCAGCAGCAGCAGCAGCAGCAGCAGCAGCAGCAGCAGCAGCAGCAGCAGCAGCAGGAGCAGCACCCTCGCCGACGAGGCTCGACATCCCCAGGGACGCCAGCCCGCCGACGCTCCGTCTCCCGCCGCCGCAGACGCGAGCGCGAGAGGCGAGAGGAGCGTCCGCGGTCGGGCTCACGCGTACGCTTCGCGGATGAGCCCGAGCCCGACCCCGACGGCAACGGCATCTCGGACGCCGACGAAGAGGTGCGCAGCCCAGCGCTCGGGAACCTCCCCGCGCTGCCGCAGGATGCGAGGCTGCACCCAGCATGGGTTGACCCACCCAGTGACGAGCGCGCCTTGGCGGCGCACAGGAGGACACTATTGCAGATTGCTGCTGCGACAGGGAAGCGCCTTCAAGTTTCCATCGACCTCGGGGCCTCCGAGGAGATCTTGACAGCCAGAAGCTGGAGTGCAGTGTCCAGCTATGCATGATTATCACGGCCCGTGCGCCAGGTGAGCGCTGTGACCGCCAGCGGGCCTACGTCGCCAAGGCCCTGGGCAAGCTCGAGCGTGCCCGCGAGGCGGTCGACAAGGCGCAGGCACGACTGCAGGAGGCCGACGCGAAGTGCACGCAGCGCGAGAAGGAGCATGAGAGGGCCAAGCTGCTGCTGGACCAGCTCGAGGCGATGCAGACCGGCCCTGCAGCTGGTGGCGCAGCCGAGGACGTGGACATGGGCGCGGACGCGGATGGCACGCGGGCGCCAGAGGCTGGAGGCGCGGCGCCTCAGACGCCGCAGAGCACTCCTGTGCAGCTGGCGGCCATCGCGGAGCTCCAGAGCGGCCAGGCGACGCTCGCGGCCCAGCTCAGCAGCTTGACGGCAATGCCGACGACGCTGCAGACGGCGATGGCTGCAGCAAGGGCCCCAGCAGCCGCCGCCGAGGTCCCCGTCCCACCTGAAGGCGGCGCCCCGCAGGTCAGGCCCTTCGCTGGCCAGCCCCAGCGCCTGGGCCGCATGCCGACAGCAGAGGAGCTCGCAGCCGCCGCGCCCGCCGCCGCGGCCGCGGTAGCGAGCCCAGTTGACGGAGCAGCAGACCATGCAGCTGCCGCTGGCCCCGCTCCGCCTGCGCCTGCGGCAGCTGACGGCGCACCTGCGGCGCCTGCAGGGGCCGACGGCGAGGACCTCGCTGCGGTGCGCGCTCGCGCTGCCACGGCACGCCGCGCCACGCGCGAGCAGGGGCGTGCAAGGCGCCCGCCAGGCCAGCCGCTGCTCGTGGACGCCATGGCCAGGCAGCAGCAGCTTGGCGGGCATCGGGGCCGTGGCAGCATGCTGGCCCCAGCTGGACGTGCTGACATCGCGGCGGAGTTCGGCGACCACGAGACGGAGGCGGCTGCAAGGCGGACGCGGCGCAGCCGTGATCGCAGCCCCCGCAGGCCCGACGGCTTCGAAATGGTTGGCGGTGCTGGTGCAGAATCGACGGGGGAGTCGACGCTGGGGTGATGCATCAGGGCAGGCGAGCTGCTGGGGGTGAGATGCCTGAGCCATCTCATAGCTCGCCTGTGGCTGCCAGCGCAGCCGACGTCGCGTCAGAACCCCTCGGTCGGATGGAGTCCGATTCGCCCTCCCCCCCCCTCGCTCCAGGCCGCCTTGCCCCATTCCCGATTGTGAGTCGATTGTGGGAGGCCTGCGTCAGCCCTGGCCCTGTGCTCGCACTCTCACGCCAGTCTTCTACGGGCCTCAGCAGTTACCCTACTCTTGCTTTTTCTCCCCCTACCTTCATAGTAGCACACGTTCCTTTTTTGAATCCCACGGAGGTGCCCTTCCCCCCCCCCGAGGATGAGGTTATCAGGTATGAGGTGCATGCGGGCGGATCTGGTGGATCTCGGGTGCAAGTACTGGGTGGACCACCGTCATGGGCTTGGTGTATGTACTCAGTTACTGCCACACAACAGTACACATGTGAAGGTTATCTATGTGGTGTTGACCCCTCTCTCCTCGACCTGCCAAGTGCTTCAGGTGCTGCTGATTTTCAAGCTGCCCTATGGCTAGTGCTATGGATGTTGCAGGCTCCTAGCAGATTCAGGTCCAGGCACCTGGAAGATTTCACGGGCAATATCCTTGTAGTCAGGTCGGCCGAAGGCGGATCACACCACTCACCTTGTGGGGGCTATCCTGGGACGTTCGATGGGGCGCTGAGGCTTCTCCGCTGTTTTACCACGGTGCGTTGGAAACACGTCTTGGGGCACAGTGCCGGTCCACGGAACGAGCTTGCATATACCATCGCACGATTAGCCTACATGGGCCTTGCACCGACTGCGCCCGACGACTTTCAACCGTGGTCTGCGCTAGGCGCCGCCGCCGT